TTTTTTACTCTAAATGTACCAAATTATGTAATTAAAAAATAAATAAAGTTATATATAATGCATGAATTACAATAAAATGACAACTGACTGATTTAGAGTTACATGACCTTATATACCTGCTGTATCAAATTTGATATAGCATTTTCAACATGGTTTTACTAAAACATAGCTTATGAAATTTTGTGTATTTTTACATTGCATCAACTCAGTAATTATTCCTATTGATGTTTCAGTAATTCTTTTAATGTTTTTCTCATCTTAACCTTTTCAAACTTGGCAAAGTTCTTCTTAAAAAAACACCTGTGTCCAAATCCTGAGTCATGGCAATCTTGTCATGTTTCTGGAAGGTCCGCTAATGATTGAATAACTATCCCCTGTTGAATTATCTGTGCACTGCATGTATCTGATTGTATACGTCTGGTTTTTCAGGGAAAAAATATCACACTGCTCATGTGGAGGGCTGTAAAACTCATGTATCAAATATGATCTGTTTGGTGTTATAGGGTTAAAAATGTATTACTCGTTACAAATAAAAGTTATATTGCCACACAGTGGAATATTTATCATGTACACATGTATGTTGAGGGTGAATGACTTCAATGGTCAATCAGTGAGACAAGCTTCCATGCCAAAACTTTTGGTCCGATCTCACTCTAGTGCAGGCGTGGGCAAACCTTTTGACTCGCGGGCCACAATCAGGAGCAGATAGATGGAGCGTTCGTGTGAACTAAGATAAATGACATGTAAAAGTCATGCATAAAGGCTAAAACGCTAAAATGCTTTTATAATTTTCTACGCCATCTATCGTGGGGAAACTTGAAACGTGGGGTATTGCAGGGAAAAGGCAGAAGATCCATCCATCCATTTTCATCCGCTTATCTGTTACCGGATTGTGGGGGCAGCAATCTCCACATCCGCCACCCAAATCACATTGCACCGTACCAACCCCCCTCACCTTCCTGTGGGTGATGAAAGGTACCAACTGCCCTAACTGGGATTTGAACTTGCCCAGGAGGTAAACCTTGGGGTTCCACACCAATGACAGAGACATTGCCTCTGGGCCAAAGCACCAAGGAAGAAGAATAATGATAATATAAATAAGTTATATAATTTGGAAAAGTTTGGCGGGCCGGATTAAAAAGCTGAACGGGCCGCATCCAGCCCCCTTAGTTTGCCCATGCCAGCTCTAGGGGTTAATTCCTAGGCTTCACAAACCTTTTAATTCACACTCAAACATTACATCCAAACCACCCCTTTTCCCCACAGAACAGGAATCAGTAGGACCCTTTGCCCTTGTAATCACATGTGATTCCTGGAAGCCACCCTCACATTTCCCCACATTTAAATGCTTTCATCAATCCTCAATTATCCAAACTGTTGATTGAAGTGGTTAGACTTTCTTAACGGAAGATTAGTAACTTTGCATGCGTCATATTTTCTCTTGGGCCTATAAATACCTAATACAACGCTTCTCTCTCAAGTTTTTTTTAAATGCTTTCATCAATTTCCAATTTTCAAAACTGTTGATTGAAGTGGTTAGACTTTCTTAACAAAATATTTTTTTTAAATGTTGTTTTGCAAATGTCAGATATGTTTGCCTTATTTTATGAAGACAACCTTGTTTAAAACAATAAGTCCAACCTGTAAGACCGGTAAGATCAGCTTTTTAAGGCAAATTCAATTATTTTAGCAGTTTACCCCAAGCCCTAATTAATATTGACCCTGGGTTGAACTGAGTCATTTGTGTGGATTACATATGACTGTAGAATCCACATGTTAGCCTGCTTTAAATGTATATAGACCCCATCTATATGTGTTCCCTGGATTTATGATTAGAGTCTTCGACTGTCTCCCCTCAGTTTGCAGCAAGAGAATAAGGAGCTGAAGGCCACAGTGGCAGAGCTCCAGTCAGCTCTGGAGGCACAGCGACGTCGTGCATCAGCTCTGGAGATCTGCCTGAGGAACGCCGAGTGCAGTCGGGATGAGGCCCAGAGACGAAACGAGGAGCTGCAGAGAGATGTTCAGCAGTTTCTCAACACAAAACCTCAGGCCCCCACCTAAAAGGTACTCAACAGTTTATGGATTAATGACATTACACATTTCATCTGAACCAACTCCACAAGAGTCTATGATGGACATCATCAGTCCAGTGAAATGTGGCCTCCATTTGAAACCCGATTTGGTCCGGGATATAAGTTATTGTCTGACTTGTTGGTCAGACTACAGGTAAAGCTCTTTGACCGAAGGACAAATTTGCTTTTATTAATGGTGACCAATTTCATGTTTCATATGAAGTAACGACTCATTAGCATCCCTGTGTGATTTATATAATTATTAATTATTATTACATTTTTCTGATTCTGGTTTTGTTAACATTGAGTGTGTCAGGAAGTAAAGAAAAGTTTTCAGATGTATCCAGATGACCATCTTTTAGGCCAATAGAAAGTCTGTTATTACGTGTGACTTGCTGGAACCTACGGTGTTTGACCGTTTTGTGCAGGGCCACAATTAAATTTCATGTACCGTATTTTTCAGACTACAAGGCGCACCGGATTATAAGGCGCATTAAGCGAAACAAAACAGTCAGCGAAACAATTAAGCGAAACAATCAAGCATGCCCAGATCCCTCCCGTCATTATCCGAGTCAGTCTTGTTGCTGTTAATTAGTTGTTCAGTGATGATTCCGGCCTTCATGAAACCTTGGACTACATTTGATACTGATACCTTAGCCCAGGCATCCACGATTCATTAGCAGAGAGTGACTTTGCCTAGGCAGTGCTCCAACGCAGTTCGCAATTTAACTTTGAACGCCCTGTTAACACCAATATTTAG